GGGGGGGGGGATGATGCCGTCGCATAGTTATTTCGCGCTCGTTAAATCTGCATACGGACCACCTCGGTTGACCGGATATTCTCTCGGTCGTGTATTTCTCCGAACGTCGCCCGATGTCGATGTTCTCCGGCGGGAGGCCGTGCGTCGTTCGTTCTCCTTAATTTACGGCCCCGTTCATATAAACATGTGGACAAGCAGGGTCGCAAATTGAATCGGTCATTTTGGAAGGGAAGAACGAATGATTTTAGTGGCCTTATTCTTCAGAGAGCGCACAAGTCGCGTTTAATAAGTATTTTAACACAGTTGCACGATATTTTATATTTTATCGATTTATCTCTCAACAATCAGCTTTATGATGTGCTGCTCATAAAACTTAGAATAGAATCTTTCTTGTACGCAACTGCGATGTTTACATAAGAAACGATCGCGTGTGAAAATATATTTTTAACGTTTCTGGAATGTGATGTCTTTATAAGAGCAAGTAAAGCTTAATGTTTTCCTTTATCCTTGATAACTTTATTTGCTTTCGAAGAGAGCAAGCAAATGAGTAAGCAGTTTTTGAGTTAAATTGTCGTCAAGCACACTTGTACGTTCCTAAATTATTTATTGAAACGAATTCTTGCGATACTTCGAACCTTCTTATCACTCATCCTGATATACAATAGGAATATAGGCATTTTTTATGAAATAGATAAATCAATTTTATCAATTAGGCTTGTGCTGCGAATTGAACAAAAAATAATTTAATGAGAAATTATTCGTGTTGTCTGATTATAAAAGAAAGTTAAGATTATACTTCCTTTCAAACTAAAGTCAATGAAATAAGAGAGTAGTCATTGTAAATTGTCCAGCATGGAAATTTTATCACGCGCAACACGGTCGTAGATTTCTGTCCATTCGATATTCACGTACAAAAATACTATTGTCGAATCAATCAACCATTTTGTCCACTTAATTACTGATTACCATAGCGACCAAAGCTATCAAAATTTTTTGAAACACTTCTAAAAGATAAATTTCATCTAAATATAAAATGTCGAATGGCATAAATAGTTGGATAACGATATATATAAAATAAAAAAAAATGCATTGTCCAATTATCCGTATAATCCTATCTAATTATATTATTGTATATCATATTTTATCATTATTATATGCTTGCGGCAAGGAACATTCTACTGTAACGATACGATAAGACATACAAAACTCGGGGAGATAACGTTAAACGAGCAGCCTTTTCGAAGTAAATAAACACAAAGTCTCGTGTACTCTTAAGTGGAGTATCGCTAAGACACTCTCTCGGCAATCATTCTTCCGGAGCCGGACGGCCGGCCTAAAACGAAAGTTCAAGAGAGGATACGCTGTGTCAAAGTTAAGGCCTGGAACGTGGATTACGTATACTCGCGAAGACGTAGTTAACCCCACGCTAGCACTGATATACTAATTGAATTAGTTATTTCGAAGCAGAAAGTTAAGGGCACGTCTGCGCCAAGTTTTCAACATGAAATAGCTGGCAGAATCGACGTGCTAGCACGCCGAGTTCGAAAGTTCTTATTAACCCGGAAGTTTCGTTCAGTATCGCGCCTGAGTGTTATTTAATTACTAATTCGAAGAATATGTGGCCTCGCGCGCTTTTATGAGGGACTGGCAGAACTTTTCCCCGATTAATTTCCCTCCCGCTACCCGAGGAGGGTCGGCATCGATTATTAATAATCGGATCCTGGAATGCGCAATGCGTGGGGTATCCACCACCCGCACCGCGCTTCACGCGAAGGACGGACCGTCCGTTTTAATTACCGCCGATCGTCCCTATCAATTTTTCGCCCTTTATCTATTTATTTATTTATTTAGTTATTTCCGCGCGCGCTGCACCCTCGGTCCTCGCCCGCGCCTCTCCGCGAAAACACTGTTACCGCGAAATGCTGCTTAATGAGGAGATGAATAATTATAATCTCGCGTTGGCCATGGGCGCGTGCACTTATCGAGGTCTAATTTGCGCATGATAACACTCGCGAAATGAATTAGAGGGATTAACAATTCATTTTATCGGAAGCAAAATCCACTGCTACTCGAAGCCTCCATCCCCGATCTCTCTCCACTTCAGAGAAGTGCGCCCCTAGTCTCCGCTCTTTTGTAAAACGCCGGGGATGGGGAAGGGCATCAGCGGGCGATTAAAATATTTTATACATGTAAAGTATCCTATCTTCGGTACAGCAAATTTTAACGATAAGTTCCTTGATGAATAATGAGTCGATTTTTCTTTCCGAGAGCTACAAAATAGATGCAAGTCTCGTTTCCCGATACAGCCGAGCGTTTTGCGCAGATCGAGAGCGGGGGAAAAAAAATCATTGCTACAATAGGAACAAACCTGAAGTTATAAGGGAGAGAAACGGACAAAAAGGCGAGGGAGAGAGAGATTTTGCTGCTCATTAACGTCAACGTTGTTTATTAATCTCACAAACTTACTCCCTAATTCCCATGAACGTTATATAATCCCGTGTGAGCCCTACACCTTAATAGACCTCATGGGGATCCGTTGAGGGGATCCGAGGATTTAAGGGTTCGTCGCTTATGGAGAATGGCACCTAGCCGCCCATCGGCCGGCGGAACGTATTAAACTTACATAGACGGGAGTTGCCGTGCCTGGTGTGTATATAAGCTCCGTTCCGGGAAAAATATTCGTAACATTCTGGAAATATGACGGATTGCACGCATACGTACGGCGGATCTCGCACGCGCGAGGGGGAGTTAATGGCGTGCCGGGACTAGTGTTGGGTCATTCCACTTGTACGGGTCGCATATAGATTTAAACAGCGGTACCGGGATGATGGGTCTCTCTCTCTCTCTCTCTCTTTCTCGCCACGCTGCAGAAGATATAAGCCGCTTTATATTGTTCTGCTCTCGCGCATCTACAGCTGTAACGCGCTTGTCGCGCGAGTTCGGTGCCGGCAGACGGGCTATACGCGTGGAGGGATACGCGCGAATGCCGAGCCACACGTGAATTAAAGCGGATGTCTTTCGCGACGATTTTATCGATTAAAGCCCCCCCCCCTCCGTGATTCCCGCCGCGCTAACGCGAAAACGCGTGCATAATTAATCCGCCTGAGGTTCCTCCTCCTCGACGGTGACGTTCGTCAGCGGTGGACCTCTCGCTCGTCCCCCCTATTAGCGCGCATCTATTTTTTATACACCGATCTAGCTGCAGACGCGGCTCGTATAGTCTTACGCGTCGAACGGGGCTCTCGCGCCCGAATATTTCATATCGAAAAGAACGACCGCTCTCTCTCTCTCTCTCCGCGACAAGTGTAAAATTTAGAACTATACAGATAAATAATTAGCACGGAACAAAAGCGACGCTCTGTGTATCTATATACATCGCGCGGCTGTACGACCTCTTCGTTTAACGAAATTGCTATAACAGTCTCGCGAGTTCCGCGTTATTTGGCAATAGGGGATTTCTTCTTCGAACGACTTTCGAAAGTTCTTCGCGATCGTGCTGCAGAAATCGTGTCTATCCCGCGCGCGGATATTTCGGTTACGTGCGTTGATCGTGCGCAATGCGAGGAGTAACGTTTACGTGAGGCCAGCCATCTAAATCTTTATATACGACGACGGGAGGGGTGTCTTTACACGAGGCTCTCGCATGCCCGAACTTTCGACGTGGCTCCCGTCCCGACGCGATGCTCGAACGATCGCGTGCTGATTGGACGGCATTTGCCGGGCTACTGTCGGTATCCGCGGCTTGCAAGATCAAGAGTACGGAGTGCACTGATTGCAGCCTTGTAGCTCGGTGCCGCGGAGTTCTCCTCCCCCCTCCCCCTCCCCGACCCTCTCCGTGTTTGCTCGTGAAAGTTATCATCTCCTGAATGAAGTTTGCACTTTTCCGCGCGCACGTAAGGAGATCATCACGATCCCGAAGGGCAACGACAGGAAGGAGAGGAAACGGCGGCGGCGGCGAGCGGGACGGGGACCGTAATTTATGACACGAGGAATCGATGGTGACTCGACTGATTCGTCGACTTACGCTCTTTGGCTATTTTTAGATTTTTGTGTGTCGCCGATAAGGCGCACGCCAGAACGCAATTAAGCGGGAGGAAACCGAGCGACGATAGCAATCTCGTATTGTAACTTATATATCTAAGATATACACACTTATTCTTTTATGGTTCTATCATTTCCGGACGAAAAAATATTACGGGAAACGGAGTTATACAGATCGATCGTAAATATCTGATCAGCTCCATTGTATTGACAATTTTATTACGTTTTTACGATACATACGTGATACTCTGATCAAATATTTCTGGAAAAATAAGAATTGTTATTCGTTCACGGGAGAGCTTTAAAAATTCATTTATTTTTTTCTTTTTCTAAAAAAGTAACAAAACTATCTATTATTCGCACATCTGTGTGCTGCTGATGTAATATGTGTATGAATACGTGACAAAACAATAGCTTTTATCTTGAGAAAGAACACATTCGATATTTTTAGATCTACAAAATGGAGTATCTTTCAAATGGAGTATCTTTCAATTTTTCCGCGCGACGGAAGAAAATATCACGTTTCGATATCGCGAACTTTATAGAATGCAGATATAAGAGAATTTACTTGAATAGCGTCGCGACATCCAGAAGCCAATCTCTTCTCTATCTCTGCCATTTTGCACAGCAAATCAATAAATAGCGGATCGGGAAAATCAACTGAAACAAAAATGCTTATTAGTAACAATTTCAAATATTTCGCATGCATAATACATAAGTATCGAAACGCAGCACGTACTCTTGACTACACACGAGTGAATTTCCGTCAGTATATCTTGCAGCGCAAGTCCTTTGTTCAACTTCAGCTCCTGTATCTCTGCGTAAACGTACCATTAAGGATTACATAAGACGGATACAGAGAGCTTCCCTTATGAAACCTCTATTATTGTAAAAGGATACTCTTGTAGCACGTCTCGTAAGACTCGTTCAGCAGCCAGTTTACAATATTATTTATGTCCCTCGGTAACGGATGTCCGACACAATTATACACGTTCTCCTCGTTCACCGCGCCGTAAGCGAACCATGTGCTTTGCAGTACGCTTATTACTTTCCTCATATCACCGCCGCTTAACGTCATCAATGCCTGCTTGCCGTCCTCCGTGACTTTTAAGCTTTAACAAAATTTTCCGTTAGAAAGGGGGATAAGACAAGTGAAGCAGATAAACGTAATTTTAACGTAAAGTAAATCTTCACTCACTTCTCCGCTTCGATTACGTGATTCAGTCTTGGTATTATTTGTTCCGCCGCGAGAGGCAGGAATCTGAATCTGGTGCAACGGGACTGCAACGCCGGGATGATCTTGCTGAGGTAGTTGCATATAATGCAGAAACGCACGTTGTCCGTGTACTTCTCGATAACTGGAAATAACATCTAATTGGAAAAGCATCTAATAATATTTAAGTGTGAACATCTTACAATACTAAATAATATATACTACATCAGACTCTTCAGTTACAGAAACTGTAGTGAATTATAGAAAGGCATTAAGAGTCAACACGCAGAACTCGTGGCGTGAAAATTTTCCATAAAAATTACATTCAAATGTCGGCAATTTACATCTTCATAATCTTACACATCTCTCGTACATTTCGGCCTCCTTCGGACTTTCTTCAACAATGAATACAATAATAAATGAAATTAAATAGGAGGTAATTATTTCTCTATATACAATAATCTCATAGGCAATTATTTCTCTGTATACAATAATAAAGTTACGCTAAAATCAAGAGAAATATAAGATTATGAAGATGTAAATTGTCAACGTTTGAATGTAATTTTTATGGAAAATTTTTACGCAACGAGAGATCTGCGTGTTAATTCTTAATGTTTTTCTACTCATTACTGTTTCTTACAATACTGCAATGCAATCTTACAAATACCGAGATAACTTCTTACTTCTTCTGAGCGCGTTCTGAGCGTCGATCGTCATAGCGTCCGCCTCGTCCAGGATAATCAATTTGAACGCCGACCTGTACATAGTGCCCGTACTGGCGAAGCTCAGGATTTGACCTCGCACGATACCTATGCCTCTGTCGTCGGAAGCATTTAATTCCAGCACCTGTGGACACACGCGCGAAACGTTAGATGAGGCGTGATGAAGGGACGTGAAATTATTCGGCGCGCGGATACACAGACCATTGAATTGAACTGTGCCGGTGTATAGAGTTTACGGGCGCACGCCAGGATGGTGCTGGTCTTCCCCGTCCCGGGTGGCCCATAGAGGAGGAGATGCGGCAGTTGATTCTCGTCAATATACTTGTTTACTGCAACAAAAGCGGTTCCCCTTACTTATATCGTAACAATAAGAACGCCGTTTACCGTCCTGTTTACACTCGCGTCCGTTACACTTACTCGTCCTTATTATCGTCTCGTGGGAAATAAGCTCGTCCAGGCTCTTCGGACGGTACTTTTCGACCCTGAAAAATGACACGAAAGTTTCTCAGCGGTTGCCGACCTCCTCGAACGTTTCGTTACTTTACTCACCATGGTAAATTCAGTTGTTCGTTGCGTTCGGACGTCATCGTGCCGTAAAATCACCGGCTCCCAGTGTATCTCGAACCGTTTGGAGCGATTTGGAGGTTAGATTCTTGCCGCGCGGCCGCCGCGCCTTTGGTTTCGGCCGAACAGCTGACAGCTCCGAATGGGGTGTGCGAGCCACACTTTATTGTTGCCATGTGCTTCGAAAATATGAGATCGCTCGGACGCGCGTATGTTCGTACTCGTGCGCAACTTTAATCTTCTCCTCTCAACAGTATTACGTTTATTCACAAAAAGATCGGGTCGTTATAGGTAATGTCGACAGGAAGTGTTGTTTTTGTTGTTAATTGCACGAATTCTAACCTTCAACTGTGCGTATGCGAAAATCTCCTGGGACTCCTGCCACTTGGCCGCATAAATCCAACGCATTTTTGTGTTCTTAAATTTTAATCTGTGCACAATTAATGCTGGAAAATGCAGGAAAATCCATCCGCAAGAATGCGTGCGTACAGAGTGGAGTGCAATTATTTTTATTTTCCTTCTTTTTTCGCATCTAAAAGTGGGGGTCGTATTTATTCACTGGCATGCAATAAAAGCATGCTGCATTCATATTTAAAGAGTTGAAAGTATTGTTTCTCGTTTTTTTTTATATACATATAAAAAGTAGGAGTTCCAAAAGTAGGAGTACTAATAAAAACGTACGTCCACAGTTAAGGGTTAATTAGTTACTTGTCCAATCTTCCAAGTGACTTAATTTCGGAGTTTTGCTCTTTTTGATGTCTGTATATGTTTACATAGCCTTCACGTTCTAACAATAAATACATATTTTGCACGAAATTTAATCTCGCGGCAATTCACAATCGATTGAACAAACAAGTAATGAGGTTACTAGAAAAACCGCGTAAATAAGGGAGGACGACGAGATTAGGTCGAACGACTCAATCTAAAAATGTTTTGTTTGGTAATCACGCAGGGGCGTAATTCGCTCGTACCCGGGCGGGGGACAAGTATGGCCCACCGTGTTCTCCGACGGTATCCCCGAGCGATGATCAATCGTTTCCGCGCGGAGACGGCGCAGACGTTCGAGTACCTCCTGGTGATGGACTTCGAGGCCACGTGCGAGAAGTACCAGGCGATCCAGCCGCAGGAGATCATCGAGCTGCCGTGCGCGGTGCTGTCCACCCGCGACTGGAGGCTGAGGGACACGTTTCACGCATACGTGAAGCCGCGAGTCCGTTCCACCCTCACGCCGTTTTGCACCGAGTTGACGGGGATCATGCAGGAGACGGTGGACGATCAGCCGCACTTCGCCGACGTGTTCCCGAGGTTCTGCGACTGGTTGACTGACCGCGGGTACTTCGACAAGCCGGAGAAGAGCTCGTTCGTCACGTGCGGTAACTGGGACTTGAAAACCATGCTGCCGAGCCAGTGCGACTTGGACGGCATTGCCCTGCCGGATCAGTTCAAGCAGTGGATAGACCTGAAGCACACGTTCTGCGAATCCACCGGGTATTACCCGAAGAGCCTGAAGGACATGCTCGCGCGACTGGACCTTCCGTTGAAGGGACGTCTCCACTCGGGGATCGACGATGTGAATAACATGGTTTCGATAATAGTGAATTTAAAAGAGAAGTACAACGCGCAGTTTAAAATCACCTCGTCGTTGGCAACTTCTGCGATACACTTGAGTTACGGGCAGACTGGAGTAGCGAGGAATGTGTCGAGGAAGAACACGTGAACGTGATTTGCTAGAAACAGGTTTAATGTTAATAAAATATCTTTATAAAAACTTCTCAATTATACAATAATTAAAATAAATATTTTGATTGTCGCAGATAAAGTCGATTACTGTCGCCTCGCGACGACTTTGATTAATACATCCTGTTTATTGTTTTCCGTGTAAATCTCGAGTACGGCCTGCATGTTACGCTCCAGTCTCTGTGAACACTGGATCTTTAGGGGAAAGCTCTTTTTACTCGGTAACATCCCTTCCGCGGGGAAAACGCTGAAGTAGTTTGAATTCGACAGACTGGTCTGGAATGGCTCGGCCACTTTGGAAAAGCTAAGAATAGTCACGGTCGCCTCGTTCTGGATTGGCGGCGTCAGAACGATAGTGGACGGAGTTACAGTGAATTGATCTTGCAATTCAGGATGCTGAACTTCGTGTTCTGCCATCGTTCTGTGCAATGAAACGTTTATTTTAACAAAAGCTCTCTAAAATTTTGTGTGATATTTTATTGAAAAAACTGATGTGAAAGTACAATAAGAGAGCAGTATTGGAAGTAATATATGATTGAAAGAAGAAAGTCCCTTACTGAGAAGCGAAGAAACTTGCTCCACCCGCTTCGTCCACATGCGTGGTGTCGCTTATCAGAGACTGATACATCTCCGATTCATCGGTGTCGTAATGTACCGGCAAAGTGTCATCCGCGCACGCTTCCACTGTGAGCATTATCTCGTACTGATGAACGCCGGTGCACAGATCGCTTAGGTTTTGCTGTTTAAACAAATGCGTTATCACTACTCGCGTAAAAACAGTAATGAGGGTAAACAATTGTATATACTTACAATAGGATCGCGAATTAATGTTAAACCGCTGATTAGCTGCTCCCCGGGGAAAGTTTTACATATTGGAAGTATAATATTCTTGAACGCTTCATTCTCAGTTCCCGTCACGTCACCCGACTCTTTTATCTTATTGTACAACCTAAGAAAATGAAAAACGTGCTTATTAGACAAGAAATAAAAGTCAGTGCCAATTAAGAGAGGAATCTCCTTTATACAAGACTAAAAAAAAGTGATTTTTAAGATTTTTTTAAAACTAAAATAAAATTAAATAATTTCAAAAGTTAGTGTTTTACTGTATATTCGACCAGTTAAAAACATTTTTTTATTAATAAATAATAGAATATCTTGATAACGTCGCGCTGCTGGAGTTGTGTACAATCTAAGAGACGTAATTTTCGTCTGAAATGAAAAAACCAAATTTTTTCTTAATTTTTATAAAATTATCTTCTATATAAACTAACAATATTACCAAAAAAATTAAACAATTTTTTTTGCAAAAAAAATCCAAATTGTTTCATGAAAATTTTAACTTTTTTTAAAAATTGTCATACCTTATCCAATTTTTGAAATTTTTTAAGTTTTGTCAGTTCATATAGAAGATAGATTTATAAAAATTAAGAAAAAAATTGATTTTTTTGTTTCAGACAAAAATTACGCCTCCCAGATTGTACACAATCGAACAACTCCAGCGGCGTGACGTTATCAAAACATTCTATTATTTATTAATAAAAAAAATTTTTATTGCTCAATTATACAGTAAAACACTGTTAAACTTTTAAAATTATTCACTTTCACTTTAGCTGAAAAAAAAAATTCTTAAAAATCACTCTTTTTAGTCTTGTAAAGCAGATTTCCCCCTTAAATGTCTACTTGTCTCAACATTATGACGCGTCTTCTACCTGCGTATTCGCCAGCGTGTCGGCTCGTCACCGTAGGTGATGTTTATCGTCGCGACATGCGACACTTCCGAGCGTTGCAGTAACGCAAAGTCCTCCCTCTTCGGATGAAATTGTATCGTTATTTGTCGAGATTCTTTAGAATCAAGAATCACCTCCTTCGGATTTACGTGCCAACTAGAGTTCATTGTCGAAAGGACTGAAATATATAAATGCCTTTATTATCTCTCCACACTCATATGAAATAAATTTAAAGAGAATAGAGGGGATTAGAGTTCATATCAAAACCTTTCGGTCTAACTGTGATCTTGGCGAATGAACGTAAGTCGCCACTGTTATCCAGTTCAATATTTGCTCTCATGCCGGTTTCCGAATACAGATTGCCAAGTGACAACCACATTGTTCTACTCGCATCCTTAGCTGTACCCAAAATTTTTACTTTGCTGTAGCCGCCGTATCCATACAGAGATATCTGCCAAATTTCAATTGTCAATTTCTAAGCTTATTAAAAAGTACGTTAGAACGTTAATTTAATATCGGCATTAAAATATACGCACTTTTTTGTACTGCTGAGAATCACTGCTCCCTTTTGTATAATGTTTAATGGTGATTTTTCCAACTACTGGACCTACGTAATACGGACTGAACGCGACCACGAGCGTTTTGCTCTCTTGACGTTGCAACGCCAGTACCTTGCTCGTGTCGATCTGCTTATCCTCGAGGAACTGTAACACACAGATTATTGATACAAATTCCACAACTCTCTTTCTCTTCAGATGACACAAAATGTACATAACGTATGTAATAATGCAATACCTTAAAACTTTTACTGTCGTCGCATATGTCTATTTGAATTTTAATCCTGTTATTGCTCGTGTTGCGAATCATAAATTCCTTAGTCTCACTTTTTCCGGTTTTCACGCTATTCCACACTAGGGCAGCGTGTGTAGATTTGATCGGAACTATATTTCCTGCTGCAGCTATACTAGATACTGTACTGATCGGTGAATTTCTATCGCAAGGTCCAGATCTGTTGCACAGATTATTTCGCTTGTCATCATAGCAACGATTGCCATATGTTACTCATATTAAACTATTGCTCGTAAAAACCTACCTGTTACTCGCTATACTCTGCGGCGATGTTGCTGGACTTGGAGATACAACATTATTAGGCGTATGGCAGCGAAAATTTTCCTTATCCGACTCTAATAATTTTGGCTCGGTACTTATGATGTAGTGGTAAACATTGTTCCCGGCGATCAACTTGATCTTGGCATATCTGAAGAGATAACAATAAATAAGCAAACAGTGTTTTATAATTTAGTAAATTTATAATTTACAAATTGATCGTCACCTTTCCTTATCTATAGAGCTTGCATCTGATAATTGTGGCTTATATACAATTAAGAATGAACTTCTCTCTCCAACTTGCAAGAATATACTCTCTGGTTTTATAAAGAAATCCTGCGTCGCGTTCGGATGCCCTTCCATTGGCACAACAGTAGCGAACACGTGAGTCACGACATTTCCCGAGTTAATGATATTCACCAATTTGCCCTGTTCTCTCGGAACAACTATAGGTATTTCGGTGTCGATAATTTGGATTTTACAAACACCAATTTGTGCGTAAAGAGGCACTTCTTTTCTAAATAATACAGCATCCTTGTATTGCACGTCTATAATTAGTCTGCTCGTCCAATGCTGCGGCTGCCTCTGCGGAGAATCTGTTCCAACGAAAATTTCTCATTTACAGTAGAAGAAACGCATGTATACAAAAAATACGTCCAATAAAAAAAAGATATGTACCTAGTGATGTGGATCGCGATTTTTCACATTTTACATTAGTGGTAAATTTTTCAAGTGGCTTAAGTATCAAATGCGTTGGTTCATCAATACTGAACAGCTTTAAGTCATCCTACAAAAGTTAAAAACATATATTAATCAGTTTTCAGACACAATGATTTGATTTACACTTTAGATTTGTAGATCTCACATGTATTGAGAGTTTCACAGGTACGTCAACGTTGTTTTTGTTGTGAAATGTTACAGGCAGAACTTTTGTTATTTCCTCTGCAACATATTGGAAATCCAATTCTGATTTGTTAAAAGGACATATGACGTCAAGGTCAAGTTGCTCCGGACTAACGAAAATCATGTGCTTCATACACCATTTCGATTTTGCTACCATATCTGATAAAAATATGTTTAACACCACAAATATTGGTTTACATGGTTTCGTTACTTTCATTTCAATCTGAAAAAAAAAACAGTCCAACGATACTTATCGGGTACGCAAGATTCATTTTCAGCTGATACCGAGCTTATACCTTTGTGGATCGGACTCCATTAGGATTTATTAAAGTCTCTCCCGAAGGTATATTTAATTCAATACTTTGTGCATCTCCTACCACTTCAATTAGCTTAAAGGTATACGTGATCCACCTCTCTCCATTATTTACAAGCTCAACATTTACTTCATTCGTCATACCAACGATACAGTTGCACGATTTGTCTGTGTTGCTACCAAGAATGACATTCTCTGAAAAATTAAAGAAAAAAAACATTGCCGCATTTATCATATCCATTGGAAAGAGAAAGAGTTAACAATCAAAGGAATTACTGTTCAAATCGGACTGCACTTTCATATTTGTGTTCAATGAGAGCGACGAATCTATCATGCTACTAGGAATATCTTTCTTCGGTATCTCTTCCTCGCTTCGTATATTTAAATTTTTGTAGCTTTCTTCATCGTAATTCCTATTCATTTTATATGGTACGTTGGACAACGCAGTCAGTTTGTCACTGCACGGTAGTGTAGAATGTCGCAAAGAAAACGTACGATCTGATGTTGACGACACATCTATTTGTCAAAATGTACGTTAAGATATTTACATATTAAAAGTTTTAATTTACACTTTTAAATGTTAAAAGTCAAATATAATATATATAAATGTTAAAAGATATATCATGAATACATTGAAATTGAAATATCATATCGTGCAATAAAATTAATAAAACTTAACATAAAGAAAAACTAATAAAAAAAATATAGCAAATGTCTCATACAGGTCTCAATTCACATACCTAAGTCTCGATTTAATGACGACATTATATTTTCACTGCACGCTTCGTCCTTTAATATTTTCTGTTTAGATGTATTCGCGAAAGATTCAGCCTTCTTCGCATTTTGACTTGAAAATGACGATGCAGTCATACACTCCTGCTTCACATCAACAATCTCACTTGTAGCTTCATTTTTAGTTCGGTTATCCAGCGACAATTTAGCCGAAAGATTCTTAATTTCATCAAATATGTTCGAATTCCTGATAGACGTTGCTAAAACAGACTTGTCGGAAGGCAGTGTGTAAGTTTCTTTTCTTGCGTTTTCATGCATCAGAGAATGTCTCTTCTTCTTCTGTGCCATTAAAAGCTGATCGACCAATCTCCGTGGCGTCCCGCTGTTAACGTCTTGTAAAGTATTAACAATAGTGCTCAAACTTATGATGCTATTTTCATCCACGTCCCTTGTCGCACTGGGAATAAGCGTATGCTCTTTCCCCGTTAATTCCGTGACTTCCGACGACGCCATCGCTACAATGTAATATCTCTTTTGTACATATGATATTTAATTTAAGGGGAGGATTCTACAAGACTAAAAAAACAGTGATTTTTAAGAATTTTTTTTAACTAAAATAAAAGTGAATAATTTCAAAAGTTTAACAGTATTTTACTTGAGCATATATTTCAGCAACGAAAAAAAATGTTTCTTATTAATAAATAAATAATAAATATTTTTTAAATAAAAAATATAATAGAATGTTTTGATAAAGTCGCTGGAGTTGTTCGATTGTGTACTCTAGGAGGCATAATTTTTGTCTAAAACAAAAAACTAAATTTTTTCTTTATTTTTATAAAATTATTTTCTATATGAACAAAACTTTAAAAATTTCAATAATTGGATAAGTTATGACAATTTTTAAAAAATGTTAAAATTTTTATGAAAAAATTTGAACTTTTTGCAAAAAAATTGTTTAATTTAATTTTTTTTGTACTATTGTTAATTGATATAGAAGATAATTTTATAAAAATTAAGAAAAAATTTGGTTTTTTCATTTCAGACGAAAATTACGTCTCTTAGATTGTACACAACTCCAGCGATGCGACGTTATGAAAACATTCTATTATTTATTAAAAAAACATTTATTAATAAAAAATTGTTTCACTGCTCAAATATACAGTAAAACATATACAGTTAAACTTTTGAAATTACTCAATTTCATTTTAGTTGAAAAAAAAAATTATTAAAGATTAGTTTTTTTTCCGGTCGTGTAAAGTAATCGTTCCCCCCTTAATTTAATAAAAAATTGTAATTACCATCTGTCAAGACAGTCGATTCAGCTAGTGCTGGTAATTTGCCCGTTTTTACAGGAGTTTCCGAAACACAGAGATTCGCTCTCATTTTTTCATTATTTCCCAACAATCCTATATTGTCAGATTTACGTTCGAAGTATTTGCCAACGCTCACTTTCCGTCCAGCGCAAGATCTGTAATTTAGACGTTTAACTTATACCCAGAGGTATTTTATATAACACGCATGTACGTGCAAAATTATACGTACTCTACTGTTAAATCTAGATCCCCGATGATACCGGAAAGAGTACTAAAATCTATCTTCTGCTTATCCGTACTCGCGACTGGCATGCAATACGTGCGATTCTGCTGCCAGTAAGCCTGATCCATCGACAATTGTTCGGCGCATTTTGAGCTGGACAGAAATTCCTCGTTATTGATCTGCGCCATCATAGTGTCGTCATTAACTTGTGCCATCATGTCATCCTTATTGAAGCTAATGCCGATGAAAGATTGGTTCGTGGGAAGCTGTCTCTTGGCACTGCAGCTGACGCCAGACGAACGCGCCGTTATTTCATTAGGCTCGAAAGTGACCTGAAATTTATTCTTTCTAAAGCGTCGTCTACAATGAGACTCAAGATTTAAGAAAATCGTACCAATCGTAGTCGATCATTCATCTCACGTGAGAAGAATAATCGACTGGACTTATGACTGGTCAATTTTTTTAAATCTCAAGTCTTATAAGTCTCATTGTAGACGCCGTTTAACTAATGTCCTAACTTTGACATCAGATTCATAAGTCATGGATACTTACACTGGTTGTGCTAACTTTGCTCATCGAGTGATTCATGTTATACTCCCTGTCGAACTCGTAAGCTCCAATTGGCAGTGTAAAATTTGGAACTGACATATTGCCCGTTATATTTTGCACATTGGCGTTATTCTCTTTGTCCATGTCTGAAACAACCGTTCGCGATTGTCTTTATATAAGATTCGCGCGTACAGGTGTTCTTGCACATCTCTCTCGTTCTACTTACCCGTGGTTAAAGAGGAATGTTTCGCTACGTCGCTACATCTCTGAAGAAGTCTCCTGGCGTGACTGGCGTACTCGAGATCCGCGTCTGTATTGGGATAACTCGACTTCTGTTCGTCCTCCGTCGTGCTTATGCTCATGAGAACTGCGTGTTATCGAGATGTCACATGTTAGTGTGGTTCTATCTGACGAACCCTCGTAAACTTTTGAAGGGATTTCGTTATACCTGACATATCGTCGAGGAGACCCAACGAGGAGTCCTCTCTCTGCGTCGGCTCACTCTCGCACGGTGGACACGTATCCTGTTTGCCCCTCTCCTCAACCGAGTGCAGCTTGTCGCTGAATCTGCTCTCCAGCCTGGAACGAGATGATACCTTCGATTTACCTGCCGCTGTCATAAACATTACCTGGAGTCGACCGTAATTCACGCGAATCCTTCGCGTAGAGAACTGAGCGTCAGACGGAGGCGGGACGCGGCAGGACGACAGAAATTAAACTCGAACCACGACAGACGCTCGAGAGGGAAGGGCGCCCCAACGGAACGCCTGTTGATTCGCCCTCCCCCGGAGATGGTTTACCCGCCCAGAGAGAAATGCCTGTGAGAACGTACGTGCTTTTTCGGCAGACGGTCGACGTCGCCTGCGGCTGCGGCGTGTTCAGCACCGTGTCATTCAGCACGCCGCAGCCCTTGGGCTTGATCGGCGTAAACATCGTGGGTAGTCCTTTGTTCCGACCGTGGCGAGCGGCGACGCCGGCGACGCGACGGTCCGACGGAGCGACTCGGGAGGGACGGGACGGATCTCAGCGGTCCCTCATCGTCCGACAACCGTGCGAATCCCACCGGTCGGTCGCGCTGTCACCCCGGCTTTTTAAAACAACAATAACAGTCGATCGAGATTTTGCAGTTCAAATTTGAAAAGTCTCGGAGGTCACCGACGATTGGACACGGACTCGAAGGTCGCGACGTAGTTTATCATCCTACCGACGCCTGGTACGTAATCGCCATCTGCTGGCGAACGTCGTTGCGAAACTCGGCGGTAAAAGTGTCGCGTCGCGCGGGTCGCGCCTTCGCCCTTCGGCATTCTCTGTCTCTTCTTCCGGTAGTTCCAGTGAAGTTGGAGTATCCACGTGTGCTTTACGAAACTTTAATCTTCACGTGGAGAACGGGACTCTCACGATCGATATATTGACTGTATGATGCCGGTATCACGAGCCTGTGGAAGCTGTAAAGGTTTTCTGAGAATTTTTCTTTGATAAATTTCCGTTTGCATGTAACGATTAACGCTATAACGATTGTATTGAGATCGACTATTTACGAGGATTTGGTTATGGGTTTGTTCCCATATCCGTTATTTGCTCACGATACAACTAAAAAAAAAAAAAACAAAGTTTTCTAAAAAATAAATTTTAGTATTGTGAATTATAAAAATTTTATAATATTAATTTTGAAATTAATTTCGGTGTAATAACTCTGTAATTATAAGGAAAGTACGTTCTTTTAATGAATGCATGTTTTTTTTCTTATGCGCGAAAAAGTTCTTAACGCGCAAAATTTTCTTTTATTAATTAAGATAACACACTCACGTACTCTTCTGTTATATTGCTATTGGATGCGATTATTGAATTATTTCTGTCTTCTATAGATAATGAGTTTAGGTAATATATTTTGTATACACATACTTTTCGTACATTATTATTTACTTTTCTTTGACGTGCTTTATCCTTGACTTTTATAATGATCTATTTTGTCGAAATATAGAGTTATATATATTCAATTATGATTGACTGCAATTTTTGTTAAATACATTTTATATTAGCTTCATAAATATTGTTTTCTCAAAAAGAGTATAATTTAATTAGTATGTTTTTCATGCTGTTTAAATAATATAATAACTTAAAGAAGAAAAATAACATGCAAAATAAAAACTAGTATCATAACTTAGAAAAGAATAATTTTCAAAAGAAAAAATAATATAATTTTAATTTTTATATAATAAATTTGCTACTTTCATTACACATTTTTAAATGTGTAAAATTTATGTAGAATTTAGGAAGGATATTCAATTAGAGATGTAACAATAAATTCTCTAATCCCATTAACGTAAAAATCGTCATGCATTAACGTAAAAAACGTCGTGATGATTTTTAAAAATCTTTTTAATAAAAGAAATGAATTTACATCGTGTCTTATATTACCTTTATCCAATTCTAATCCGATAATATATAATTTGATAATGTATCCGAAGACATCTCTTATAATTCTAATAAAATCACATTTATGCTTTCAAAATAATAAATAGTCGATACAACCAAGTGAAAAAGAGTACGGCTATTATTCCATACATACTATTTGTAATAATTATATATGTAATAAATGTTTTTAATAAATGTAATAGGCCATTTAGAACTACTACATATATAATATACTGGTATAACTTCGTATTATATATATAGCCAATCGGGACAATTATTTGTGAAACACATGTTCGCTCTCCCTTCTTGCATCTTATGCACTCACATCTTTGTAATACGTATTATTCCATATCCATAATCTTGTATTTGTCGTTAACAATATTACAGTTACATTACAGATAATGATAAGAACACATTTTTTTTCAATTGCCTCTAATGCAATTACAACTACCTATTATCAATCTTATAGAAAATACAGAATAACTTTCTTGTCATCAAGCGATTCCATTCTTTTGGCATGCAAATTTTCTTTTTAATTGACATTTCCATATTGCGATTCGCGCTGAAAATTTATACTTGTCTGCGAATCTCCCGGATTCGCAAAAACGTGTAAAACACGTAAAACAAAGAATCAATGATGGAAAGAATCAATGTCAGTGTGTTGTTAAAAGTTACGCATAAAAATACACTCGACAAGATTGCTGTACAATTTATTCGATCACATTTTTATTAAATTCAATGGATTTTGCGCAGACAGCACTCGCTTGTTCGTCGTGTTACATGAACTTGTAATAACAGATTTTCTAATTCAGGAAACGTCCTAGATACAATATGTTTGTAGGTACAGGACGATAACGAGGAGTCGACATTATTTTTCGTTTATGTCCTCTCTTGAACCATTGAATTTACTAATATTTATTTAGTCTCATCACTAAAAAAAAAATATAACACAAAGTCATTTTATTTAATATTTTGAAATATCATGATAAATGTCTCTAACATATAGCAATGTAATTAATACAAAGAAATCATCGTTTTACTAATACTTTTATAGGGAACTTATTTCGCATAAGGAGAAAAAAAACTGTTCAACGTTACTTGACTTATATTGTAGGTACATATGCATATATACATGTACATACATATATATACATACGAGGTGTGTTTAAAGAGTCACTAAATTTCTTTGTCATGTGCTGAATTTGAAAGAGCGTTAAGGCCACGCTGGTATCGCGTGCCGGATGGATCTTTGTTCTAAAAATAGACATCACATGCAGCGCTATTTTTTTTTATTTTTTTGTGCGCAGTGCAGTTTTTTTTTTGGTTTGTGATGAGAATATAAGAGGTGCAGTTCATGATTTAAAAAAAAAATAGTAGATTTTCATCGGAAGCGTGTGAACATAAAATTTTGTTTTAAGTTTAAAAATATCATTTACTCCAAGTTATGAAACGTTAAAGCAAGTTTATATGGCTGTTAACAACCGATCTGAACGTAGATCGTGTCCTCTATTAACAATCAAACTCTCAGAGCGTTTGTATTATTCATAACATGTACGACTCATTTTGCACGTTCACAATAAACAATAATACGCTGCGCAAAAAGTAAATGAGATAAAGTGCTGCACGTGGTGTTTATTTTTAGAACAAAGACCTTTCTGTCACATGACATTAACTTTGAGGCACCTTCAAATTAGCACACGAACAGAAAAAAAAAGTTCTTTTCTTTTCGAATAGGTCTCGTACGCACACACATACACATACGAACACATACGCACGCACGCACGCACGCACGTCGTTAAATAACTAATAAAAAAGTTCGTCATAATTAAAAGATGATTACATTAATAGGATCAAAAGTTAAATTAATACATTATTTACATTTGTCTAAAATGTAATAGTGGAAAATATCTGAATTGATATATTGAAAATGATGATGGATTACGTCTGCATTATTTGCCGCACACTGCACTTGCACGCCAGACTTACTGCTTATATAACGATTAACGAATTACAGTGAGATTCCTGTCGAATGTTGCTTTTGTCAATATAATAGAAATTCAACTGATCCCAAATCCACTATACTCTTGTACCAAGTGATAAAGTCAATAATTTAATACAAGATTTTTGTCTCGCACGTTAAGCTCAATCTGGACCTTGCTGTATTTCGTTATAGTTCCTTAAATCTTTTCGAGGTATGTAAGCATAAAAACAGTACGAGAGATACAAGTACAGAATATTTAAAAATTGGTTCAGGAAAAATATTTAGGAGACTGTTATTTATTACTTTTTCTTCTGCATCGAAAACATCAATTAAATTATGGTAGAGTAAGAGGATGGATTGATAAAAGGGAACAAGTGTGTATATACTTCTCGAATAAGATTAAGTGCAATAAATTCTTCAAAAAGTGATTGAACAATGTGGTCGTGTGTAGAAGTTCTGAGAATTTGTATCTTTATTTTAGGCAAGCGCTTAAGTCAATTGTAGCTTTGCTTAAAGAATTTTTTTGTTTAGTCCCATTTGATTGGTCTGTCTGATAAAGATAAGTATCTTAAGAAAAGTTGTTATTAAATAAATACTTTAATTAAAAACTTCTCGATTTTTGCTCCGTTTTTTCATGGTATCGCATATTAATGGTATAATACGTATACACATTTTTTTTTCTTACGAATTTGAAAGATTAGGAAACTTTATGCTAATCTAGATATTAAATGTACATATATAATGTTTCATTGTCGCGCATTGTATTGCATGTATCGTTACTGGATGTAAAAAACATAATCGTTAATTTCAAAGATTTGCAGCTATAGGAAACATCATTATACACGTGTATATACTTGTTATTAAAATGATACACAGCATCACCGAGTAAGTCAGTTCTGATTAAAAAAGTGAAATACATATAAAGCACTAGCAGCTATATTGAATCGAAGGTTTAGAAAACTCGGATTGAGAAGGAGAACCACTAGTATTCGCAAATATTCTTAAAAATGGATAATCTATCTATGACGTCGACATAGATATCAATGATTATTTTTTTGATTAATCGCAAAACTTACAATCGATATCCTTTACTTTTGAGTTTCTATGACTTAGCAATATTATTTTTATTTTACTTTCAGGACAATCTGAGAGAGACGAAGATTACAAGTAGTACAGTGAAGTGAGATTTCAATGACGAAGGTTCATTTTATTCTTTACTTTATTTTTTTTCTTTTTTCAAATGTAAATAAATATCGTTATCAAAACTTTCTACGAATGATAATTTTAATAACATACAAGTATCGTTAACAATGGTATCTCCTGATCGTATTTACGCAAAGGCAGTTATAATAATATCTGTATTGAAAATATTTGCATTAAATGTAACTCTTCTGCTGTTATCTTTTGATTTATTTCACGTTCACGTACCGTAAACCTATGGGTCGCAATTACGGATATTAAATTAATAATTATAATTAAATAATGTACTTTGCTAACTAATCAACTCCAAGATGAATCGCATATGGCGCCGTATATCGCGTATTAACTTAATCTTAAAAACGTTCATTTATTTGAACATCGTGTATAACTATAATAACAACAACGACGATGATTATGCTGATGATTATAGCATTGTAAACGATGATAAAAGTAGCAATCGCAACTTAATTGTTGCCATTACTATTATTAATTTAATTGTTATTACTATTTTATTATTGTTATATATTATTATTATTTATTCGAGGTTTGTCCATCAGGTCTATCCTATGATCCATCCGAACTCATAAGGGGGAGGGGGGCATGTGGAATACCCTGTGATAGAGAAATACGCACCGTAGTTATCCCTCGCATATCGCTGCCTTAATGTTATTATTATTATTGTTATTACATTATTATTATTTTTATTACATTATTTCACAAATTTGTATTTTACGCATTGCATGCTATTTTTCCACGGAATGCTAATGTTTTTTAATGTAACTGATGAAATATGAAAGAAAAGTGCTTTCCCATACAACACGAAGTCTAAAATCGAAGCGTAAAATGTCTTTAAGACGTTTCTCGCAAATATGTCTTTAAGACATCTTTTAGACATCTTTGAAACGTCATGTGTCCCGATTTTGGATTTCGTGTGGTTTTTGGATTTCTTTTTTAAATTGAGTATACTGAGGTCAACTACAGTATAGCTTTTTACTTCAAATTATTACGCTTGATTTTCAAAATATAACAAAATTCTTCTATCGGCTTTCATGTATACATTTTCGATGTAAAATGTTTATAATTATAACTATGAATGGAAAAATGTTAAAAGCTTTAAATTTATTCAGTATAAATAATATCTACCGCGATTTACTGATCGGTGGCTTTTGCAAATAACGTTATCCTGCCGTGAATATTTCTCGAAAAATTGAAATCTTTCCCATCTATGAGCAAATTTCTTATTCGATTTATATCTTTCTTTTAATCTGGATCTAGGTAGATCTTTTAATGTAGATCTAGATAACGGCGGGTGCCTTCTACCAGTCTTTTTTCCTTCTCCATTTCTAAGTATTTTAATTATTAAAAATCATATTGAACCCTGCATATATTACTATATTTTTCTTTCCTCCTCTTTCTCTTTCTTTCTACTTTATAATAAATTATCAAATGTACTTTGAGCTATGATTACATACGTTTTGTTTTCAGAATATCGCACTTCAAATAATTCTTGTATATGTATATATATATATATATATACATATATACATATATATATGGCACAAATAAATGTAATGCTTACTTTGGCTATTTCTTCCACGCAAGTATATAAAGTGCGAGGAATGTATAATGATTATAAATATATCTTAATATGTGGGACATATTTGGAAAATAGATTTAACAAAAATAATAAATTATAATTAATTCGTGTTTATAGAAAAACTACAGAAATTAGATTTAGATTAAAGATTCAAAACGTAGCTATTCGATAATGTAATTATACTCTGTGTGTGTTGGTAATACTTTTTAATTGAGTTTTTTTATGTACTTTAAATATTTTTCAATTAAAGTAAATTTTGGATCTTTACTAAAATTTTTCTCAATTAATCACCAAAAATTAATTGTGCGAAATTGCAAGACTTATCCTTTTATAATATTTATTAAAAGTTTCCCACTCTAATGATTATAACAGTTTTACCATTAATGTTTAATGTTTTTTAAATTCGTTACTGCAAACCTAAAAAACCTAAACAAATCATATTTTTCTCTTCAAGAAATCAAATTTTATTTTACATCTTGGACCAAATTAAAAATCTCTTGTAATTTATGTGAAGGATTTCTGAAATTATTCTGAGTGCTTTTAAAAATAAGTACATATAAACTTATATAAAATTTATATGAATTCTTTTTTATTACTTTTCTATGTCAAATCAATTCCTAAAATATGTCCTATATATTAAGATTTACATATATATTTTCTCTCATTCCTTCTCTCCTTTACTTCTTGCCCTAACTCTTTTTCTTCTTCCTTCTCTCTCTCTCCCTCCCTCCCCTTCCCTCCCCTCATCGTTTTTTTGTTAGATTATATGATCTAACGATTCGATATTCAATATTATACCTATACACATAAATATAAATTTGTAACATCTCAATTAACAGTCAAAATCTTTCAACTACTTTCGATTTGTCTAGCGCATGCAAGAACGTATCACAATATATGTGATATCACAATCATATCGATATTAACCAATTTACGCGATTCAAGTACAAATTGATTTATCGTCCTCGCAACACTGTTTAAAATCATGAAAAATATAGTTACAATATTCACATGCTCACTTGCTCCTCACATTTACAATCGACAAAAATGTCTTTAATATTGACAATTTTAAAAATCAGTAATCAATCGTCGCTGATGTTACCGCTGATTCATAATTCAAGGAAAGACTGTTGTCGTGCTTTGACGTTTAATCGCTGGTAGCATGGACGGTCCTTATTTTTCTACAGCATACTAAAACCGCCACAAGCTAGATCTACGTGGTGCCGAGGTTGATCCTACAGTAAACAATCAGAAATTTTATCAGATATAACTAAGAACGACATTCAGCTGTTGTCATGATTTGTCACGGGTAGAATAAAATTTGTTTAAATTCTATTATTGTTCTAACATGAAAAAAAAATAGATGAGAAGGATGCAGTTTACACTATATGGGATGCATTTAGAATACATAATAAAATGTAAAAAAATTATGTGTTATTCTCAAATAAAATTTTGTCGATGATTTGATGCAAATGTAAAAGAAAAACATATTTCAATGAGCGCATGTTATAAAAGTATTTAATTCATGGCACTCTTTCTAAAATTAAAATTTAGAAATTAGTTTATCATTTTATTAAGCTTATTTCAGTTAACATAAGTTTTAATTATTTAAAATTAAAACATTTCCGTAGTAATTGAAATATACTTCATAAAATAATGAACTGATTTATGAAATTGCTAAATTAGAATTAAATGGTTGTATTTGTCATTAATTCTAATGCTGTGGTAAACAAACTGTCATACAAACATTTTGTGTTATAAAATAATTTTAAATAAAATTTGTAAGAAATTATTCGTTTAAATTTGGATGAAAAACAATAAGTTTCCATATTTATTAAAAATTTATGAAATGTAGTTGCACAATTGTTTGGTCTCTCGAATGCAACCATTCTTTTATGCAGAATAAAAAAAAAGAACAATGAAAAAAATATGCATATTTTTGGAAAACATATTTGTACCCGCTTGTGTTACGACATCCTCCTTTATCTATGGTTGTACCGACCAGCATGTGAAACAGCCACCATCTCTATGGGTAGAGATCCCCTCCGTTTGACAAATGCTTCGGGAACCGGATCGCGCTTTCCTATTTCTCTCTTCCACTTGAGCCACGTACCATTGTCGTTCCCGTCGGTAGATCCACCGGTGAACATCTCCGGGCCACCACTACTTCGTCTTCTTAAAATCTTTTTGCGGTTTCGCGGTTTATTATTTACATTATTTCTACTAAATAGATCGCGACGTAATTCGGATATGTCTGCTGGTATTGATCCTCGTCTCGGAGAGAGCATCCCGGACACGATACTATCAAATTTACTAATGCCGTTATTGTTGCTGCGGTTACTGTTATTGTTGTTATTATTATTGTTGTTTATTGAAATGCTTTCCCGCTCGCCTGAAATAATATAATGCAAAATTACGTTCCTGTGTTATGATACTGTTAAAATGTACTTACTGGTTAAAGTGAGGACATTTTCCAAAAGATTTTCTAATGCAGTCTCTTGCGGAAGACTAGCTCTTCGTAGATCCGATAAATTGTCTCCTCGATATCCTAGAGTTAACCGGTTACAACTTCCACCTAATATGGAGAATGTAAAAAGAGAGTGTATTCGCGATGCAAATGGTAAGCTTTACTTCTAAATGAAGATTGTAAACTTAAGTTTTATTTCTTTAATAAAAATGTGTATTAAAAAATAACTAAAATTAATTATTATAATATGTTACCATATAATTTTACTTTATTAGTATTAATTTTTATTAATTTAATTATTTTTTCTTCCAATATTACATTATCTGTAAGATACTAATTTTTGATAAATATAATGCATATGCAATCGAATATAAATCACAATGTGTACCTTGATGTTTAGTAATATCAGTTGGTACTGATCCACGTCTACAATTATGATCAACTATGGTAGATGTGTTCGTTGAAGTAAAATCATCCAATCTCGATAAAAGACCAACTGGGGCTGATCCGCGTCTTTTCGCCCATCCCTAAATTCAATATAGTAGGAGAAATTGATAATACATGTAATAATAATTAAAAAAATGTAAAGAGAGAAAGAGAAAAAAAATTTACACAGTAGTGGTTATAAGTTATTAACAAAAAGTGGGGGCAAGAAATACAGACGAAGAATAGGATAGGATAAAAAAGAGAGCAGTGTGAGAAATCGAAAAGAGAAGGTTTGGGAATAATTAGAAAAGATTTGTTCAATGTTTAATACAACAAGGACGGAACAAAGATAAAGATAAGATGGAGGTAGAAAGAGTGAAAAGAAGTAATAGGAACTAGAAAAGAGTTGAGAAAGAAGAATGAGGAGGAAAGAAAAAAGGGGGAGAGAGAAGAGAGGGGGGAAAGAGGAAAAGCATCTTAACAGATAGTAGGTACAGTAAGTAGAAATAAAGATGAATGACATCCAATCATTGAAATATTTGAAGAAAGAAGGAAACGAATCGAAGTTAGATAGACGTAGAAGCGTAAGCAGGCGTCTGTGCATGTGCGTGTAAGTTTAGGATAGGAAAAGAATTGCAATATTATAACGAAAATAATATTTACAATCATTGTTTACAAAATTATATATGATGCGATTATAAGGGGAAGTCCTTGTAACCCAATAGAAATAAATCCATCTATTATGTCACAACAAAAAATTATGAAGAATATATTAGTATATAAACACAAAATTTTTAACAAAAAACAATTTTTGCCAGGTTTTTAAACATTGCACTACAATACTATTCTTAGTACTCTCTAATTAGTTTCAATTACCAATTTCTATTCCTCTTCAATCTTTTAGCTTGAGAGAATTTTTTAATATTTAAAAAATTGAAATAAAACTTTATTACTTACATTTTAATGTGTTTAAAAATATTAATTTTTATAAGAAATGTTCAAAGAATTTTATTGTATTTCTAAAGATTGCAATGAATTGTAATGTAATCATAAGATTAATGTTTCAAAATAAAGATTTGTTATTTTTTATTGCAACCACATTGAAGTAGAACATCCAAATGGAGCAAAAAAATTATTTAAGTAGTCTCTACTACGTAATACATAGAGATAACTTTTTTATTTCCTAAATAGTTGCAAGTATTGATTAATAAAACTTGAATTGATTTGACAAATTTATAAAATTTAGTTCAATGGATTTAAAATCAAAATTATAGGACATATGTATATAGAATAAATATACGAAAGATGAGATTGAATACACAAGATCACAATAAAACTCATATATTCATCTCGAACACGAAATACTAAAATATTGAAATGAGTTGCAAAGAAACTAATTCATTTCGACGTAAAATATCAGAAAAAAATGACATCTTTCATATACGTTATAATCCAACATAGCTACAATGAAAAATTAGTCTTAAAAGTAAATCATTGCTAGATTACCTGATTGCCTCTACGAGATAACGCTTTAGCGAAGTCGTCATTCGCACGGGGATCAACATTTTCCTTCATTTGCGCATCGGAACTGAACTTCGAGACCTTTGAATTTTTTTCTTTCACACAATCCAACTCCTTTCTATTGCCACTGACAACAACGGCTTCCTTACTCGAATCATCGATACTTCTTTTTGGCTCACTACCACTGTCACTCGACGAAGATACACTATGATTAGGAGGCGAATCGGGAGGACTACCGATAAAGAACACTTTGTGAGTGCTAAGCTCAGAAGACACGGGTATTGTGGTGTACCGTCTACCTGCTTGGTCGACCGTTATCGTTTTATATTCTGTGACAGAAGTCGAGTATCTTCGCGGCTCTTCGGAATATGCGCTCGCAGCCGATGAAGTAGATTGGTCTAATTTTTTGGACAGCAACGCAGTAGTTTGCAGTTCTTGAACCGTTAATCTCGCGTCGCGACACCTAGACTCGGTATTGCAATCTAAATTCGACCTACATTCCGCGATACACTTATCAGGAACACATTTGCTCTTGTCGCTGTGAGAGCCCGTTAACGTAGCGTAGAACATCTGCGTGGGATCTGGATCTTGAGCGGAGGAAGGCCTTTTATGCTTATGCTTAGAAAAAGTATCGTCGGTACGAACAATCTGTATAGAATGGCGACGCTGCGAATTGACAGTATGCTTCTGTTTTGTTGGATCCAACAAAGTCAAGCCTTGTCTTTTGACAGACACATCCGACTCCTTGGAGAGCGCGCTCGACACGCTGGATTTCCTCTGATGACGCGAGCTGGGATCGTACGAGCAGTACCGGCCGCTCGAACACGATTTTTCTATCGTGCGGCTCGACGAGCTGACGGAATCGTCGGCTTCCTCGACCAGCATCTGCGTGTAGCACTGCGTCATTTCCGCGGTCGCGGACATGTACCTCGTTCTCACGCACGGTGGCTGAATCGGCGGGAAGGTCTGCTGCCGCGTGAGGTGCTTGGTATGCGCCGCGCCGTACTGATCCGGTTGCAGCACTGTATTCAATCTCGATGCTTCGGCGCTGCTCGTAATACTGGCTATACTCGGCTCCGGTAGGAGATTCTCCGCGCTAACCGGTCTCTCGGCGCTAACGTTCGGTGACTCGGACATGTTACTTTTGGAAGACAATAGGGACAGCGAGCTCGGCTCCAACAAACTTTGATCCTCTATCTTCCAGAATGGATTTTTCGCCTTGACCTGCTCGCTCGGCAAACTCTCTCTCCTGGTGGTCTGGCTTAAGGGCAATTGCAATGGCTTCGATACGCTCAGAGGAACGGAATGACGTCTGCCGACGCGATCGAGGCCAACTCGTCCTGGCAGCGTCGGCATTCGCGCCGTTTGCACGTAAGTCGCCGGTATCAGCAGATCGATGCTGCCCGAATCTTCATCGGCGGCCGTTTCTTCGCCCGAACTGATCGCGCCCTCGGGCTCGTCCAGCTCGGAGATCTCGGCCTCTTTCTCCTCGGTTATCTCCTGGTTGATCAACGCCTCCCATTTTTTCTGATTCATCTTCAAATATTCCATTAACGACACGCTCAGACCGTCACCGAGGAAACGATGCCACTCCACGTAGAGCGGGGTGACGACGTGCTTGAAAAAACCAGCTTGGATTTTTGGGATGCTGGTGGTGTGTCGATCGCACAACGGCGTCACCGGAAGATTCAAACGACGCTCGTAATCACCCTGCCTGAAGAACTCCTCGCAAACCTTGTAAGACCATTTCCTGGATATGTCCCACGGCCTACACGGATTGGAAATGTCCGCGCATTTCAGGGCTATTTGCAGGATGAAATGACGATCTTCCGCGCGTTTCATCTCGAGTGAATTGTTGCTCAAGTAATCCTGCAATGCGAGAGATAAAGAAACGTTGAGGATTAATTCGTGTAATCGAGAGAAGAGAGTTAACGTTAAGAAGATGTACCCTGAAGCGCGTGAGAAATTCCTGTTGTCTTGTAATATCTGTCGCTAAGATCAGTGAACTGATATGCCGTTGAAGTTCTGGTCTCACGTCGGCCGGTAGTTGTGCTGAAACACCGCTTTCTAGAAGACATCCTATAGCCGATCTCCAGTGATGATTTTCAAGAACAGAAGTATTCTGAAAGTTGTTAAGCTTTTTTACAGACAAACATTGCTTACGTAAATAATTTAGACATTATTTATGAATAATAATAATAATAATTGTCAGAAAATATTGAAGACCTGTTGTTCGGAACATGTTAAAAATTACATAAAAATTTAAAATATAATTTAAACGATAATATTCAAGAAATAATTTTTGAGAATATTCTGTTTATAAAAGAACGTCATATAACTAGTATAAGTTTTATTTTTTGAATGATAAATTGGAAAAAATATCCGTGGCATATTCGTTTCTCATTCATTAAGCTCGGACACGGTTTTACTTTGATCAAATATTTACAAATAATTTTTATGAAGCAAAATATCAAGTATTTGCAATTAATTCACGTCAAGCTAACGACGTTCTTAAAGTGGTGTGACTAACAAACAAAATCGATTCATGTGAAATAATATAAAACTTTAACTTTAATTTATAGAAAAAGAATTTTATCAATTAGAACTATAATTATATAAATTCTTCAAAAAGCATGAAATTAACTTAAAGAATAATCATCTACTTTTTTAAATATTTGTAATTATTTATAAATATTATTAAATTTATTCATATTTTCAACATGTAACAAGCATATTTGTTTTCATTTTGTAATCGTATTTTATGTGAGCGCGATCGATTCATAGTCGACAGGTCCCGGATTTGAGTTCTCATCCCACGTATATCTTGATTTTTTGTCTCGAATCTTTCTCATCCATTTTATAAAATTTGATATTTTTCTCGTAAAAAAATATGTCGAGAGATATATGTATTTTCTTTCATCAAAGTTAAATATAAAAATGTTCGACCAAATATGACAAATCTTGTATACAAAAATATGCTGTGTAGTTTAGAATTTAAGATTTTCAATGCCATTCATAAAGGCGCAACTAAAAACGTATAAAATTCCGTTTAACAAAATAATGTTAATCTTAAAATCTTTTAAATAAATCTAAAAAAAATTCTTTTTCTATTCTCAATTGCTCTCTCGAACAGTGAATTTTTTTTCAAATATTTCTTCGTATCATTAAAACCAATAGAAATATTTCAAGCGATCAAGGTATACTCTGTGTATACACAGTATATAAAATCAATTCTCAGATTTTCAATTATTTAATTAAACAGAGATGTTCCTACCTGATAAAGCGCAGCTAAATGATTACTCGTTGCGACCAAAAATGGTTGATTGACACCCGGATGATCTAAGTCATGCGTTACAGCCGCTATCAAGGAAGCCATAATTTCTAAATTGGTTAGATGTGTTTTAATCTGCAAAATTATAACTCCGTCATTCTGTCTCACTGAAGAAATGAGATTATTACATGCTGTCTAAGTAGTCAAAAATTCTACATCTGTCTATAAAGCTGCAAAGTGAATGTATAATTACCTTTTTTTCTTGGAGGAAGCAATGCATTGCCTGAGTGACATCCGTGGCATGTATACTGTTGTGGTAAGGATTTGTACTGTGATAACCCTCCTCGATAAAAGCTTTAATTAAATAATTACATAAATTATTTGCCGTAATTTGAATTGACCATTTTTCAAACATTTCTATTTACTTTTGCTTTCATTTTTTCTATCTTTTTTTATTTTTCCCATTTTTTTCTACACAATAAAAATAATACAAATCTCTGTCTCTCCCTCTTTCAAAAAAATATGATCAGATATAATGATTTATAAAGTATTATTTGTTTTCTGAAGAATTACGTATATTACGAAATGTTTTACAGATATCTTTTGTAAGATAAAGATATTTGTAGGATATAACGATAAAAAATATATTTATAATTTTTCTATATTTTTTGTTTGCACCAATATTTCAGTGAGCCGTTACAGTTATTCTGTAAATTTAACATACATTATATATTTTTTAAATCGTTCTTCTCATTACTTTAAATATACAGTATTTCGATAAAATCATATATCAAAAATAAATATTTTATAAAATATTTCATATTTTCCATATTATGATAAAATGCATATTTATATTAAAATATTCGTTTTTGATGATTTCATAATCAAATCAATATACATACACAAATAAAGTAATAAAAAGAATTGAGTTATATAAAAAGAAATATACTTATATTTATTTCAAACATTTAAAACAATTTTATTTTAAAAAAATAAGACATATTATCCACCTAAAGATCACCTTTCCCAAAAGATTTATCTCTCTATAAATAGTATAAATCTAGCATCTCCGTCATTAAAAAAAAACTCGACTATATTTATGACTATATAGTCATAATTAAGTGCTCATTTATTGCTAATTTATTGCTCTAGTCGAGAATTTATTGCTTCTACTCATTCGCAGGAAATTAAAATTAAAAGAGTGCTGCCTTCACGTTACCCTAGCATCCCCACTCCCGAAAAACACATACAGAGTACTATAAAGAAAAAAAATAGGTCACACTTCTGACGGATTTTTTTAACTTGAACAAAGAACAATAAATTTCGGACTATTTTAAGAGCAAACAATTTTAGAAACACCCAGTCATAAATATAGTTAAACCTTTTTTTTTAGTGGTGGAAACTAAGGTCACAGAGGTAAAAAATTTAGTAACAAAATTCGTGAAAGATTTCCTATAAACTTTGAAACACCAGAAGAGATTTCTTTTATTAGATCCATTTTATTATAACCTTCTTCATTTTTGACAACACTATTTGTCATAAAGTGATATTCCTATAATGTACCCATTACTGTTTTGCATTATAATTAATATAGAAAAATAATAACTAGCTTGTTTATAAAGAAATCGCGGGATTTAAGTGTCTGCTTACCGAATAACTTCCATACTGTTACGACATCCAAACTGAAGTGTTGAAAAAGTCCATAACAATGGAAGAGATGGACACATAATACTGGCAGCGAACGACCTGGAAATTAAACACGATATTACGTGTGGCGATGATTTAAGTATAAATGAATTAATGATTATGTTTTAATTCCTTTGTGAGTCTGTGCATCTATTCAAATTAATCTGTTAATAATGCTTCAATAATTTATGTAATTTATGTTAAACCTTTTATGTAATTTTTTAATATAAAATCCCTTTTTTATTATTTATATCTGAAGAGTTAATTGATATTTGATAATAATGTCATATTAAATTATTTTTTAATATTTTAAATATTTTAAATATTTAAATTATTCAAATTAAAGTACGAAATATTGACTGCGCTACGGCATTCTCTCTTTTGTTCAAATATTTAAATATTCAAAGTTATTATTAAACTTTTTAAATTGCAAGTTTTCAAATTTGTTTAGAGTTGGTGCATGTAGTAAACCAAATTTTATCCTACTCGATTATTAAAAGTTATTTCGCGTATAATAAAATTTTTTTCCAAAAATGTTGTAACTAATTAATTAAAAAATTAAGGGGATAGAAGATTTTAAGTTACATATAGATTTTTTTTAAGAAATTGGTAACAATGTAGATCTATCTATGAATACTTTCAAAAAAAGAAATTTTATATATAGAAACGTTATGTATAAAAGTTTTTTTAATCAGTTCCTGAATGACCCTTTAAAATAACTACCTTAAAAAAATTCACAGTATACCTAGTAAAATTTAAGGTATAGTACTCCTATTATAGAAGTTTTTAAGTCAATGTGCGTGATATGTAAAAAAAAAATTTTTTTAATTTCTATTGGAGTATTTTCACAAATTACATCACCATACAGTTTTTTTACCTCAAAAGTTATCAATGATAATAAAATTATTTTGAAAAATTTGTAATACTAAAATATAAAATAAAAATATGTAATTCTATAATTTAAAATTCTACAATTTAAAATTGTTTCATTAATATACTATAAAAATATATGTTAATTATTATAAAAATTGTATATACAACATACATAAATGATAATTTCAACTGTACTTACCACCCGTGACTGTTTCCAACGTGAAAGCATTAAAGCGCCAGTTTCCAGCTCTTTGTAACACGCACTGTAACACATATAATCCAAATATGATAATACGATACGAGAGTATCGTATCGTATATTAGATTAGAAAAATAAATAATAAAATCATATAATTAACATTTTTTTCTTCATACAATTTCATATACTTAATTAAAAAAGATTTTTACTTTGACAGAATTTTAATTCAAAATCTGATTAAAGTATTGTACAGAATTTTAATTGAAAGCCTATAGTTAAAGTATTTAAAGTCTAAAGTATTGTTGAACGTTGGAAAGTTGCAATAATAATTTTACCATCATTTTTATTAAAATTGATTCAAATTATTTTTAAAAAAATTTTAATACACGACATTATACATTATTATGTTTGAATTAACGATTCTATGAAATATATTTTATGATGTATCCGTTTATACTCAAAATATCAACAGTCTGAATAGTGTTCATGTTTTTCCTGACCTAATTGATGATATCCGCAACGCAGAACGTGCTACAGATAAAATTTATATTTTGTTCAACAACAAAATTTTTCATTTTTTCAACGATCTATGTAATTTTATAATTTTTTAATTATGGTACGCGCTTTAACTGAAAATCATTTACCATTTAAAGGATATAATTCCCAGAAATCTGGGAAATATATATCCACCTCTCTCATTTTTCTGCAGTAAACGAAAAATATGGACGTTCCAATGTTCAAGCGCATTGGCGTGAAACAAAATGATATTTTATTCGTGCGCACTATGTGTGAAACGAAAAGCATTCATTATAACTAAAGCTTAAAAGTTGAATATAATAGGAAATATAGCTATAAAGTAATAATGGGGAAAAAACTGATTTTTGTACGAATATTACAATTTTTAAAAGAATTTTTACATTTTTCAAATAAAATGTGTAAATTACCTGCACCAGTCCGTGGAATATGTCGTCCAAGATACCTGGTTCCTGATTCAAGGATCTGGTAGTAAGCTTCTTACGCCGTCTCTTATGCATCGTCAGAAATCGACCTGTATGCCTGGGCCTATATCGATCGACGTCCAGACTCTCCAGCAGAATTTGTTCCGCATCCGATAAACGTCTGAATGCTGCTTCTGCCGTAGATAATCCATCATGGACTTCTGGTAACGTGGTCGATGCACCAGAATTACGAAATAAGCTGCTATCTATGAAATAGTAAGCGTTTTCAGTATGTCATAAGCGATAAATTATCTTTTTTAAATAGGGAAAAATTATTTCTTGATATAAAATTACAGTTTTATTTATAAGATAATGTAAAATAATTAGTAGAAAAATGAGTTATTGTGACATTTATTTTTCTTTAATTTTTATATAAAATACAAAAAAAACAAGTAAATAAAAACTAAAAACTAAAAAAGTATAAAAATAATATTAATGTGTTTAAAAATTAGACATTGAAATATTTAAATTATTAAGTATTTAATTATTACTTTAGAATTATTTTATTCGTGATCAAATTTGATGTTTCATAAATGAGATGTTAGCTATTAATGAAATAATACAGATTTATGCTAAAGACAAAATAAATTTATAAACTCTACAACACTACATGTATGATTTGATTTCGATAAGTGAAGCATGATTATAATCGCGACTGACAAGGAAAGTTTGACAATTGTAAAAAAAAATTTGAAACATTTCATAAACCTAGAATAGACGGACCTAATCACGTAATAATTTTTTGTTGTGTCTAATAAATTTTAGAGATAAAAATATTCTTTTGAAAAATATCCGTTCTTTTCTTTCCAAATATCATTCAAACTATAAAAAGTGGAGAAAAATATTTTAAATAAAAGATTAAATAGTTTTAAAAAAGAATGCTTTGTAAAATAATAATAAAAAAATTTTCAAAAATTAATTTTTTATTTCTCTCACCACTTAACATTTTTTTTCAAATTTTTGAAATTTTTTTATAACCAAATCAAAATTATTTTATATTAAGAATTCATCATAATCATATATAATAAAGTTATTAAAAAAAAAACTACTTATGAGAATTAAAAGTAAATTGTCCGATTTAGACAGATTATAATATTTCTCTTCAAATAAAATGGAGAGAAAAGATAACACTTTTCTGTTATAACATGATCTCGAGTAATCGATTGAGCTTAATAAGAAGTCGATCGGTCCAGTTGTTATTGAGAGCTGATAATTGTGTTTTTGCTCAACTTGACGGCTCGTGTAAAGATACACGGGATAGTTTCTCGCGCATGCACTTGGCACGAGCATACTATCGTGTCTCTTAATTTCTTCTTCAAGAAATCTAGCTATTACCACTACTTTTTGTATTAATAGCAAATATGTCACTTTATTGATTATTATTTTAGTAAAATGCAAAAGAAAGAAGAGGTTAGAGGTATAAATGGTTGGGTGATAATGATCGTTATTTATCTCAATAAGAGAATGGCGAATAAGAATGCCATAGGACATATAAATGGTGAGATGAAATATAAGAATGTGTTGGCATGAATGCACCTTGAGTAATTGCAGAAAACGAAAAGAAAGATTGGAAAAATAAAGGAGAAAAAGAGACTGCAGAAAGCGAGAAAGATAAGGAATGTAGAGAGATTAAAGAAAATCGGAGAAGAGAAAAGAAAAGGGAGATAGAAAAAAAGAGAAATAGAGAAGGTAAAATGGAAAGAAAGAGAAGAGAAAATATAGGACAAAAAGAAGATGAGAAGAAGGGAAAGAGAGAGAACGGAATGAAAAAAGAAAGATAACAGGGGAAGAGAGAAATGCAGGTACTTGTGGTACAACACACGTAATGTCCGGAAGATTTATTTTTACACGGAAAGTCTATAATATCTATATCCTATATTATATACATATACATATATATAATAATATATATCTAGCAAGAAATAAAGAAATGACGTTGAGCGCATTCAAACCGGGAAAGCAACTAATTATCAAGCGAATGAACATGCATTAAATTTGCCAAAAATTGTTAGCATATTCTGTTGCAGCGGCTAATCTATAATAACATATTTTATCATCCTTGTTGTCGTCGCTTAGCTAGCGATGATATTTAGTTTATTACAGGTCACATTTATTTTCGTTTTTTAACTGTGTCAACATAAGTTTTTATCTCTGTTATCGGTTATTTATGCTATAAATTTAATAATAATTTTATTTACATTTTATTAGAGTCTTCATTTACATATAATACAAATGTCTTTAAAAACATATAATATTCAGAACACGAAATTCCGTTTGTTAGTGGGATCCTAGTATTACTGATAATAATAACGATAATTTCTACTATCTGTTTCAAAAATTATACAATGTACGAGCTGCGTTTGTTAGCCACGTAGCACTCGCTTGGCAAACAAACCGGCAGCTTTGCCGCCTTGAACGCACCCATCGTGTCATTATCTTAATAATATTTCTATTATCCCAATATCCAATATAAAAATAGGAATGATTAACTATTAAATTGCTCTTATATCACGTCACAATAAAAAGTCAATCATTTTTAGTATTTGCGTAATTTTTATTTTGCTACTTAAAAATAATTTAAATAGAGGAAAAAGTTGAGCATCTTTGTCAAGACACTCATTCTTGCTGCACAAGTAATGTAAAACAAGTATATAATCATAAGCCATAGATTTTACATTTTAATTCATCGGACAAATCACTGATTAATATTAAAGTATGTTAAACTTTAATAAACATTTGCATTTTTTGCTTTAAATCATACGCCATTACACGGTCACGGCGCTGAAGCTGAGATACACTCTCATCTTATCAATTTGATATTAGTAATCAATTTAATATTATGGATACTAAAGAGTATCTTATAAACCCGTTTAATACGTTAAGTTTGTTTTAATATTTTAATATTAAGCTACGAGTAAGTAATGATATTAACCTGACCTAGTCTAATTACATCATATTAAAATAAAATATGAGATATGTATGTGTGTGTGTAAAATGTGAGATATATGTGTATATTAAGATCAAAATTATATCTTTTGCCTTCCTAAGTGCGTAAAAGTTTAACTATAAGATGTATACAATACTATTAATAAATGCTTCTGCATAAAATGCATATTTAAGATTTCATTGATTTTTTGATAAAAGTAATTGTTATTTTAACAAACTAATCATACAGTAAATGTAATGAACCATTATGTTGCAACTTTACATCTTAATTCGATTGCTACAAAGAATTCCCTAAGTGTTTGCAATCAAATTTTTGATATTATTAAAATATTTTATTTTATTTTATTCAAAACATGTTCTGTTTAATACAGAATCGTGTGACGCGTATCACTCATAAAATAATTACTACATGACCTACATGATATCGCCAAATAAAAATTATAGAGTTACTCACCGGAAATACACACAAACACCGCATTCTGTCCCTCGCTGTCTACCGTTACCTCGCCAGTTCGCCTCTGTAATAATTAAAATGAATTTATATTATTACCATTAATTATTATTATCATTCTGTATAGATCTGGTTTCACTTAATTTAGCGTTATTGCCAATATAAATAATTAATTACTGCAAGAGATTTTCAAATAAAAGTAAATATGGATGTTTTTTTTGAAAGAGAAATTAATATAAAGTGTAATAATTTATTATTTATACAAAATAAACGTCAAAAAAAGACGTTACAATTAATATTTTAGAAAAATACGTTTTTATAAAAATAAAAAGTTATATTGACCTAATTAAATAAAGCATTATCAGAACTTTAGTTGTAAAATAAACAGGAACGATCAAAACTCTGTCAATTCTGGTTCAATTGACCTACATAATTAACATCACATTTGGTATATTTAACAGAAAATTAATTAATCATGATTTTCTAGTAATTTCTAAAAGAATTTTGATTCATTTGTTGTTCATCAGACATACTAATTAAATTCATTTTATTTCCAATTTATGTTCCAGTTTTTTTTTTTTTTCATTATAAAAACGCATTTTTGATAAAACGCGATATGAGGTAGGATGTATATGCGTTCTAATCACATCTAAGTTTCTGATACTCGAATCATTGATTGGTGACACTTCTTTCTTCGCATCCTGAACATGAAGTAATGTTCATAACAGAGATATAGTATTGGCTATATATATATATATATATATATATATATATA